CTGTCCTCAACATCCTTAAAAGATTCTGCCATCTGGTGGCCAAATGAAACAAACTCTGGGTCTTCAGATGCCTTTGTCATAGCTGAAGTTCTTTGGTTATTTTTGTGAAAATAGTGAGTGAATCTAGTCTATAATCTTAAACTTCCTTTGTCTCTTTATGTGTTTAGACTCAAGTGGCCAGCCTTTCTGTGTCCAGTGCAAGCCAGAGTACCAGGGTCCCAACTGTGAGCAGTGTAGTGATGGCTTCTACAACGCCGACAGCATCTGCCTTCCCTGTAACTGCAGCGGGAACGGAGACCCCCGCATATCCCCTCGGATCTGTCACCCGGACACGGGCCACTGCCTGAGCTGCATCAACAACACTACGGGGCCGCACTGCGAACGCTGCGCAGAAGGCTTCACAGGGGACGCGCTCGCCAGGAACTGCACTCCTACAGGTGAGAGCCTGCAGTAGTAAAACTTCTAGCGATTTTTGGCTGCAGTTGGGTATCATTTATTGATGTTTTTTTTTTAATTCGCATTATTGCATCTGTACTTCACATTCTTTTTTTATTACGTTCATTCATATAATTTTCAGCAGTTTGGTTAAAGCCGTGACTCTGAAACCATCATTTGTCAGTGCACTTCAGTACTGAAGAAAAGTGAAGTGAACCAATCGAGAGAGGTTGAAACTGATCCCACAGGTTAACTCTTTCTCGTGGACACACTGAGTCGCTTTCTCATGCATTTGGTGTAGTTTCAGTTGTGATTCACTTACAAAAGTGCAACATATTAAATGCATCACGTTGATGTTATCCAGCCTTACGCTATAGATTGTATGAACAGGAAGGACCTGAACTTTTGATATTAATATATTTAAGCAACTACTTTACACTATAGACTGTGTGAACAGGAAGGACCTGAACTTTTGATATTAATATATTTAAGCAACTATTTTAAGTGGTGATTGAAAAGTGCTTTGTGTGGTATGTGACTGTGGTTTTTAGAGAGGGGGAGAGAGGATGTGTTGTAGAATGACTTATCCCAGATCGGTGTTCTGACTCAGAACATCTGTCTGTACACTGCTGATTCTATCAGTGGCATACAGTAAAGAGGACAGACCCTACATTCCCACAGGCAGGCTGACTCGGGCTGCCAAACAGTGAGCTTGGACCACAGGGTGAATATATGAAAGAGAGAGGAAGAAGAAAAGAGTGATTTATCACTTCAGTAAGTCAGCCAAATCCACACTCACTTTTCGTCAATCTTTCCACTCAGCCAACAATAATAAATCCTTCTCTTTCGGCCTGTCTTGAGCTCTGCTGCTACAGAACAACCATGTTCCCGCTCACTGATGACGTTCCATTATAGAGGTAGCTGCACTAATGGAGCTCCAAAAGGCAACATTGACTTTCGGTATTGACTTTCCAACAATGGCTGAAATGTCTCTGATAAAGTGTTTCCCATAATGACAGTGTTGTTATTGTTAACATAAAACGAAACTAAAACTTTTCCGTTTTTGGTAATTAAGAAATTCCATCTGTAATAAAATAAAATATAAATATTTTTTTCAATACTTTATTCTCAAAATTAATTACAAATGTTGCCTTGGCAACTAACTAAAAGTACTAAATGTACTCAAATTAAAACAAAAAAATAAACCTATATTGAAATATTTTTATAAAACGAATAAAAATGACTAAAGCACATACAATTATTAAAACGTGAACTAAAAATAAAATCTGAAAATATAAAAATTAAAGCTAATACAAAATATTAATAAATACTTTAATAGTACATAACTAAAATAACACAGCATGATGAACCTTACATGTTTTCTGAGGTAGGTTTTCAGTCTTTATGTACACTGCGTATGGTCTGACATTGTCTGTTCTACTGAACAGATGGAATCGCTCCTTCCTGTGAACCTTCTACCAGTATGCAGCATCTGTTATCTACATTACACTAGATCAGGGCTCCACATGGTACTGTTTCGCTGCTCTCACCCTTTTTCATTCCCTTCCTCTTACTCTTTGTTGCTTCTTATCCTTTACTCTTTTTTGCTCTCTCTCTATTTTTCACATGATGATAACTTGCAGTTCAATAATAACTGTCAGTTCGGTGAGTGAGTCAGAAGTTCAGTCAGACTGATTCAAAAAAGTAACTTTTTTTAGTAATTTTTTTAATGATTCATTAAAAGAACCAAATAAATTTGCTTATTGTTCAGACTAAAACTGAAGTTTGTTATCTGCATACAGCCCACAAACTCGTTTTCTTATGATAAACACCGGTTGCGCTGCTGTTTTCATGTGGGTGTGTAGTTCTGCTTACACTATTCTTCTTAAATACGCCGGTATCGCCGCCATTCATATACTTTTAATGATAGCCAACATTACAGCCCCGCGTGCAATGCAGCTCGCAGTCACTGAACGTGTGTGGGACTGTGGGCTGATAATGTAGAACTCCGGACAAGTTTTCTTGCGCGCACCCGTTTTTAACACGTCTTGACTGTCGTACAGTCTGACATTAATGACAACTGAGATCCCACACAGGGTTTCTACAGACATGAACAAGTTATTAATAGTACATAACTAAAATAACACAGCATGATGAACCTTGCATGTTTTCTGAGGTAGGTTTTCAGTCTTTATGTACACTGCGTATGGTCTGACATTGTCTGTTCTACTGAACAGATGGAATCGCTCCTTCCTGTGAACCTTCTACCAGTATGCAGCATCTGTTATCTACATTACACTAGATCAGGGCTCCACATGGTACTGTTTCGCTGCTCTCACCCTTTTTCATTCCCTTCCTCTTACTCTTTGTTGCTTCTTATCCTTTACTCTTTTTTGCTCTCTCTCTATTTTTCACATGATGATAACTTGCAGTTCAATAATAACTGTCAGTTCGGTGAGTGAGTCAGAAGTTCAGTCAGACTGATTCAAAAAAGTAACTTTTTTTAGTAATTTTTTTAATGATTCATTAAAAGAACCAAATAAATTTGCTTATTGTTCAGACTAAAACTGAAGTACAATCCTAAAGGACTTTTCAAAAATCGCACAGTGTGAGCCCGGCTTAATCTGTTTTGATCTGTACTTAGTAGTGGCTGCTCCCAGGTGGCTTGTCTTTGAGTCATACTGCAATCTTCTTTTATAGTTCTAATGTACAGAGTGAATGTTTGACCACAAATACTGGATGACACAATTTCCATATCGCGACTTTTCTTCTGAGATGAACGATTTGCTTTTGCTCAATCCTGAAAAACAATCCAGTGGAGAATAGCTGTAAAAGCCCCCCACCTACTTAAATGTTCTCATCTTTAATTTGTACCCTTCTTAAAGGTCAGAGGCAGATAGCTGGGGAGTATTCCTGCAATCGCCCACACCTTCTGTGTATCCATTAACGGGTCATAAAACAAATATCACAGAATCTGAGTCACTTTTTTAAGTCATACTAAGTACATGCTGTCATTTCATTCATTTTTCCTTCAAAGCAAATAAAAAGCATCCTCCTGAAATAAGTGAACATCTATAGATAAGCAAAAAAGTAATTCAACTTGGTTGTCTTCCCCGTTTTATTTTTGCTGGCTTATTAGTTTACTCTTGCCATGAATTAAAACAGAACCAAGAATTACTGTAGCCGTTCGTATAAAGCCTGGTCAAGACCAAGCAAAAGCCGCTGAGAGCTCGCCAGTGGGCGGGACTAATGTGCAAATCTGTAATCTCATTGGCTAGTGCTCACCTTTAACGGTCCACGTTTTGGTTACAGCATATCATTACCTGAGATAGGACGAGAGCAAAAAGAGACAACTTTGACTATTGTAAAATAATGTCGTTAAATACTAACAGATAAAACATTTTACATGTAATTAACTTTTAGCATGTTCTTAAACTCTGACCTCATTATTGTTAGTCATTTTTCACAGAAACAATGTATAATGGAGAAATTATCTTTTGAAACCATAAAAGAGGTGTTATTGTACACATTAATCCACCCCTGCATTTGTCACCTGCTCCCTCGTATAAAAAAGGCTTGAAGTGTCATACAGAAATATGATGATAATGTTGATTATGTTTGCAATATTGTAAACACAATGCAGACTGGCTGTGGGAGTGATTGAAAACACGACTGATTTTCACTTATCTCCCGTCCCAGTTAACACTGCATTTTTCCTTTTTGCTAATGGAGAGCATTTCAAGTGGAAACTAACTGTTGTAGTAGTGAGTCTTTCGTATGTCTCTCTTGCCTACCTGGAAATACTGTTGCCATGACACAGAGATGTTGAGGTTCTTGTCGAGAACGAAGGGATGATTTGTTTTTATCAGGCCAAAAAGGATCTGTGTGTCAGTCTCAGATGGAGAGCCTGACTAATTCTCGTCACAGTTTTACAACGGCAAAGTGGATTTAGAAGACTGTTTCATGGTGTATGGAATTGTACGTGTTTTATTTCTTTTCCAGAAATTTTCTCCTCGATCCACTTTTCCTTTGTGACCTTTCACCCGGCAACCTGTTAAAAGGTGCCACGCCTTGTTGTGTGGACTTGACACAACATGTCTGACTGGGAGAGTTTAAGTTTTGGTTAATTTATTTGGACAAATCTCTCTCTCTTGTATTGATGGCTTAGGGTCTGTTTGTGTGAGTCGCAGAGGAGGGCAACATATATGATCTGATGAGCAATAATGCTTGATGGGTCCAACAGCCGTACTGGACAGTAATCAATCACTGCCATTTGTGTAGCACAGGCTAAAACAAGTTGAGCAAATGGTTCAGTGATGAATAAGTGCCCATACTTGACTGTGTGGGTGTATGTGTGGGTGCTGAGCGGGGTAATATAATATATTATTATTATTATTATTGGAATTGTCAGTAAAAGAACACATAAAAGGGTGTGTATGAATGAGTCTGTTCTTGATAGGCGATGGCCTGCGAGCAATAGTTAATCTGTGATTGTATGTCAGATGACTCTTGGGACATCTACTTTTAGCTCTCTCCCTACTTTCACCATCCTGAAGCTGTCTTTATCTGAGGTGTGTTGGTACAAAACTATGTAAATATTAGATGTACAGAATGGTTGTCATGAGGAGCCTGCTATTGTATTGGTACATATGACAACGAGTCCTGTTTCTGGGACCAGCATACTCATGCGCACACAGAGAGACTGACGTCGTAATGGTGTTTTAATCTTGCATATGTATGCATTGTGCATTATGCATGGTGCACCACATTCACAACTAACTCTGTGAAAATTTCAATAAAAGCCAGTTTTCCTATAATATGTGCTTTCATTATTATTATTATTATTATTGTAACATTTCACTTTTGTGAAAAATTATTATTCAGTTGTATTTGAGGCACTGTTCTGTTTTTCAAACCAAACTAAATACCAAACTGCATTTGTCCAAATGCATGAGCATTAGTATTTTACATTAATGACATTAAGTTGATATAATTTTAAAGAAACAAAATAAAATTATACCAGATGCATTTTACATATTCTGCAAAACTAAGATGACCTCATTATGTACATCCCAAAGTCACCTGTAAATACTTCAGTTTGCACTCTTCCGTTAGTGAGACCACAAATATCAAGCAAAGGTTAAAGCATGACTCCTTTCTTACATGTACAGTAAACTATATTGCTCAGATCAGTTTCTTTTTTTTTGTTCAGTATAATCATCACTTTCATCTAGACCATGTGTTTCTGATGGCATCATCTGTGTAAGAATCGTGATGGTAGCATCAATCAAGTGCCTGACTTCAAAGGTTTTGTTTTTATAACATGTTTTAACATCTTGTATTGCATTCAAATATTTATAGCCCTCCTCCCTTACATAGCACATTTGAGTTTGAGCAATATGCTGACGTGTGGCATATTTTCAATAGCTGAGCTATATAAACTGTTATGTTCTTGTATGATCTTGTCCATTTCTATTGAGCAAAAATGGTTAGTAATAAGTGCCACAAAAGGAGTTCTGTGTTTAGAAGCCCATGCACAACTCTAAAAAACACATTCCAAAAATGTGATCAAGCCCGGCTCACACTGTGCGATTTTGGCCACGATTTGGTCGTCTGAGACAAATTTTTCCTGTGAACCTTCTACCAGTATGCAGCATCTGTTATCTACATTACACTAGATCAGGGCTCCACATGGTACTGTTTCGCTGCTCTCACCCTTTTTCATTCCCTTCCTCTTACTCTTTGTTGCTTCTTATCCTTTACTCTTTTTTGCTCTCTCTCTATTTTTCACATGATGATAACTTGCAGTTCAATAATAACTGTCAGTTCGGTGAGTGAGTCAGAAGTTCAGTCAGACTGATTCAAAAAAGTAACTTTTTTTAGTAATTTTTTTAATGATTCATTAAAAGAACCAAATAAATTTGCTTATTGTTCAGACTAAAACTGAAGTTTGTTATCTGCATACAGCCCACAAACTCGTTTTCTTACTAAGTCATGGTAAACAGTATTTTTTTCCATTGCATTCAATAAACTCACATTCACAATTTATATTCCGCAGCAGTACATGAATATCACTGGACAATCACTGGAGTTTAATTCATAATTTAATTCATTTGGATATGTTGCGTTTTATTAGATGCATACAGTCTCAAACTGATCTTCTCTCTCTCTCTTGCCCTGTCCATAGTCGTCCACACTACTCCTTCAACCACTACCCACTGGTTTCACTACACCACCATGAGCTCCAGTAGTCTTTGGTCGTTAGTTTGACATGTTCACCGACAGCTGATTAATGGCCGTTGCAATCAAATTTTACCTCCGACGAAATTCTGGCAGTGTCAGAAGATTTGGCGCACAGTCCTGCATTGTGACTTCTCCTACGACGAACATCAAACTGTCTTCGTTTTTTAAGACTAGCCATGATCAGAATTAATGTTAGAGACTGCCCTAAACTCCGGCGCTCTCGTCTTCCGCTCACGGAATTCATCTGATACGTTGCCTTTGCTATGATAAACACCAGTTGCACTGCTGTTTTCATGTGGGTGTGTAGTGCTGCTTGCACTATTCTTCTTAAACAGCAGGTCATATGGGATTTTGAAAAATATATCTTTTGCCGTTTATAACGTAGCTATCCTTAAATGAAAACAATCTGCAAAGTTGTTAATCAAAAAAGTGCATGATAAATAAAGATATTGTCTCTCAAAAGAGACATTCAGAAATGCTTTTCAAAGCAAATACAAAGCATCCTCCTGAAACAATTGAAGGTCTATAAATAAGCAAAAAAGTTATATTCATATTATTATTTTTTATACTTTGTTGGCTTATTTATTTACTCTTGCCATGAATTAAAATAATAGAACCTAGAATTATGGTAGCCGTTCGCATAAAACCTGGTCAAGACCGAGCAAAAGCCTCTGAGAGCTCGGCAGTGGGCGGGACTAATGTGCAAAATTGTAATCTCATTGGCTAGTCCTCAACTTTCACTGTCCACGTTTTGATCACAGCAAATCACTACCTGATATAGGACGAAAGCTTTGACTGTTGTAAATTAATGTTGTTAAATACTAACAGATAAAGCATTTTACATGTAAGTAGCTTTTAGCATGTTCTTAAACCCTGACCTCATTATTGTTAGTTATTTTTCACAGAAACCATGTTTAAGGGAGAAATTAACTTTTGAAACCATAAAAGAGGTGTTATTGTACACATTAATCCACCCCTGCATTTGTCACCTGCTCCCTCGTATAAAAAAGGCTTGAAGTGTCATACAGAAATATGATGATAATGTTGATTATGTTTGCAATATTGTAAACACAATGCAGACTGGCTGTGGGAGTGATTGAAAACACGACTGATTTTCACTTATCTCCCGTCCCAGTTAACACTGCATTTTTCCTTTTTGCTAATGGAGAGCATTTCAAGTGGAAACTAACTGTTGTAGTAGTGAGTCTTTCGTATGTCTCTCTTGCCTACCTGGAAATACTGTTGCCATGACACAGAGATGTTGAGGTTCTTGTCGAGATCATCCTTCAATCCCACAAACCCTGCAGTGACACAGAAAATAAACCGTTTATGAGAATGTTTTGAATATCAAGCTCTGATATTGGCAGAATATGCAAACCTAGCCAACACAGCCTCCCTGCTCGAATTCTGAGCTTTAGTATGAGATCAGCGCCCTCAGATTGTTCTTTAAAATCGAACAAGTCAGTTACTTCGCTCAAGTAATCAGTAATGACAAAACAGATATGCACATCAAAAATCCCGAGACATTTAAATTAATCTGAGCACATGATGCCGGAAATCAACAGCATTTAGCCAATCGAGTGCTGACGAGTGGAATCTGATGTCATTGTGGCATCACTGAGCCATGTAGGCCTTCGAAATGGAAGACATTTGCGGGCATTTTCTTTTACTTACTTTGATATCATCTGGGAAACTGCCCTCTTTTGGAAATGTAACTTATGAGTTCTGTAAATAGAGTAACCGATAAAAATGAGTCATATAAAAATATATATGTGTGTTTCATTCAGAAATGCTTTTCAAAGCAAATACAAAGCATCCTCCTGAAACAATTGAAGGTCTATAAATAAGCAAAAAAGTTATATTCATATTATTATTTTTTATACTTTGTTGGCTTATTTATTTACTCTTGCCATGAATTAAAATAATAGAACCTAGAATTATGGTAGCCGTTCGCATAAAACCTGGTCAAGACCGAGCAAAAGCCTCTGAGAGCTCGGCAGTGGGCGGGACTAATGTGCAAAATTGTAATCTCATTGGCTAGTCCTCAACTTTCACTGTCCACGTTTTGATCACAGCAAATCACTACCTGATATAGGACGAAAGCTTTGACTGTTGTAAATTAATGTTGTTAAATACTAACAGATAAAGCATTTTACATGTAAGTAGCTTTTAGCATGTTCTTAAACCCTGACCTCATTATTGTTAGTTATTTTTCACAGAAACCATGTTTAAGGGAGAAATTAACTTTTGAAACCATAAAAGAGGTGTTATTGTACACATTACTCCACCCCTGCATTTGTCACCTGCTCCCTCGTATAAAAACGACTTGAAGTGTCATACAGAAATATGATGATTATGTTGATTTTGTTTGCGATATTGTAAACACAATGCAGACTTGCTGTGGGAGTGATTCAAAACACGACTGATTTTCACTTATCTCCCGTCCCAGTTAACACTGCATTTTTCCATTTTGCTAATGGAGAGCATTTCAAGTGGAAACTAACTGTTGTAGTAGTGAGAGTCTTTCATATGTCTCTCTTGCCTACCTGGAAATACTGTTGCCATGACACAGAGATGTTGAGGTTCTTGTCAAGATCATCCCTCAATCCCACAAACCCGGCAGTGACATTGGAAATAAATTGTTTATGAGAATTATTTGAATATCTAACTCAGATATTGGCAGAATGTGATCCAAATGGGTAATGCAAAGCTAGCCAACACAGCCTCCCTGCTCGAATTCTGAGCTTTATCAGTCCTAGTTAATAAATAAAGATCATCATTCTCAGATTGTTCTTTAAAATCAAATAAGTCAGTTACTTCGCTCAAGTAACTGACTTAGTGAATCATTATTGCAGATCAAAAATCCCGAGACATTTAAATTAATCTGAGCACATGATGCCGGAAATCAACAGCATTTAGCCAATCGAGTGCTGACGAGTGGAATCTGATGTCATTGTGGCATCACTGAGCCATGTAGGCCTTCGAAATGGAAGACATTTGCGGGCATTTTCTTTTACTTACTTTGATATCATCTGGGAAACTGCCCTCTTTTGGAAATTTAACTTGTGAGTTCTGTAAATAGAGTAACCGATAAAAATGAGTCATATAAAAATATATATGTGTGTGTAAATATAACTGGAAAAACATAATCTGTGTCTGAATCAACAGTGAGATGCTCACAAACATACTGAATGTCCCTAAAGTGCCAGCAAAACCTAAACACGCACAGTGCATAACAATTTTTGCTGATGCTTCTGCTAACACCCACACCCAATGGGAGCACACGTATGTGGTGACCTTGTTTGCATGATTGATTACAGATATTTCTTATGACTTCCAGTCAACATTGTGGGAAAATACCAGATGGGTGGTCTCTGAAGTACTTGAGGTCTATGTTTGCTCTTAAAGAGATAGTTCACCCAAAAATTCAAATTCTGTCACCATTTACACATGTTGTTCCAAACCTGTGTCACACTTTATTCTGCAGAATACAAAAGGAGAAATTCTAAGGAATGTCCTGGTCAGTGGTTTCTGTGCAATGACAGTGGTGATGAAGACTGAAAAAGGAAGCAAAATCACATTTTAGGTCTCCTGAAGACACGTGATGGCTTTGTGTGAGGAACAGTTGAAATTGAAGTCGATAATAGAGACTTTAAACAACAGCAGCTGATGGAATGGCAGCAGTGTTCTGCAAAAAACATTCTATTTTAACTGCTACTTTGCGACATTGTACTGTTACTGTCTACTATGGGATTATAGCTAATTCCGGTAACAGATTAGATCAACAGATTTGATCACAGTAAATTATAATTTAACACTAAACGCAACTCTTCTTTTGCTTTTTTAAATGACACATTTTTTTATTTTATTTTGATAAATGAATGTTACATTCTACTGTCCTCACTATTGTTGCTTTGTGATTTTTACATTATTTAGCTTTGGCTGTTAATAGTTTGCTTCCAGTCGCTGATGCATAACCTGTAATTAGATCATTAAATGATTCAATGAGTTTAGTTTGAGAACCATGAATGAATCATTCAAAACATTTTAAACGTATAACAAATCACTAGACGATCTGATTCAAACAAATGATTACTTCATTGCTAAATTGCAACACAATCCTCACAAAATTGCACTAGTAGACTACTTTGTTACTTTTACAGTAATTATTGCAGCCTTTGGAGACTTGATATCTTCATTCATTGTCTTCATTCACCTTCAAAGCGATGCTCCAAAATTTCTCCTTTTGATATTTATACAGGTTTGTAATGACATGAGGGTGAGTAAATGATGACAGAATTTTTTTTAATTTCTGGGTGAACTGCCCCTTTAAGATTTCTTTTCATTGTCGCTCTTCAGGACCTTTTAAGATTAACGATTTAAACTTTTGTGTCTTAAAACACATGACTGTTCTCCATCCACTTCACCTTATTTTCGTAGCTGTAGGTTTTACCGACTCTCCAGACAGGTAATCTGATAAAAGATTGAAATTACAAACAGTGCTGATAACTCAAATGAAACAAGATGTTGGCTCAGATTACAAGATATCAATAAAATGTATGAAAGCATGCTTTACATAGTGAAAGCTATACGTTTTCTGTTATCATGATCGCATCCACCTTCATCTCACCCACAGGTGATGCGAGTCAGTAGCGCACCGTTGAACGCGTGGGAGAGACTCATAGCCTATCTCATTACAGCCGCGAACTTCATCCGGTACAAGAGTCATTTCTTGTGTGAGACTGCAGTTATTTCAACTTGTTGAGGAGCAGGCATGGATACAGCGCGGGCAGCCAGGGCACATATTATCTGGACATTGATAGCTTTGGTCTTTATTTTAATCGCGTCGTGTTTGACGTATGTTTTCATGTCGAAGGTAAATATAACTGATCTACAGCCTCAGAATTTCTGATTCTTCATCTAGATATTGTTATTTTGGACAATAAAATTACCCGGTGTTAAGGATTCTGTTGAAAACTTTGAAGAATAACTTGGCGATTGATTTGGTTGAATAAAAGTCTAGTCAG